GCTACTTTTTTACTTTTTGAAGTTTCTGTCACTCTTCTTCTTTCATTAATTTTCGCCATAAATTACACAGAGCTTGTTTAAATTTTATAAGGAGCAGTTGGAAGGGCTCATAACGTCAATGAATTCCAACTATTATGTATTGAATTTTACCCTAATTTTCTTATAAGTTTTGAGAAAACTGCGAATTGTCAAAGTTTTACTTTATAGAAATAGCAAATCGTTAAATGAACCTAGTTATCAATTTTTCAAATATCTACTTGAAATAATTTTGTCGAATTCACATAAAACTGACAAATTGCAACTGCTTGACATTTGTTTATTATTTTAAATCTAAATTCTGAAGAGTTTTGTCACAGCAGCTCACGTTATTGCCGGAAGTATTCAGTTTCTTCCTTATGATTTCAGTTGTAGGAATCTCATNTTTTTGCCTTTGAGAGTGCCGCTAACTTTAAATGTACACAATATCATTTACTCCGACTATCTAAAAATGATTCCTCTTCACATAAATTTTGTCAGACCTTGATATTTTATTCCTTCAAAAGTTATTCCAGAGATATCACGAAATCACTTTCTTTATTCCATTCGTGAAATTGTTGAACGTGGACCGTTGAAACATTTCCAATTAACCTTTTTGTTCAAAGCGTCAGAAAGGTTGAGAGAATTACAAAAACCGCCCCTGTCTTTTCATTTATCGTAATGTTTTCTTCATTCAATGTCCGTTTATAATCCCCTGCCCGTTAAACAACACTAATTAGCCAAATTAAGCTCGTAGCCCTTGCACGAAGACATTTGGAAATATGGCTATCTCCGGCCCAAAGATTCCTAAGATTGGAATACCGAAATTAGTGGTAGCTGAAAGCTTTGAATTTCCACTGTTCTCGGGGCACGTTTTAATGAATAGACTGTGGCAACTGGAGTGGAATTGCACTACAAAGGAACAATTATCAAAGAAGTAATATCTATTAAAGGAACTGCTGTTTCTGAAACTTTCACAATGTCGATGTCGTCTGGTTTTTATGTTCCACGAAAATGCGCCCTAGCTGAATTTTTGCGAGCTATATTACAGAGCAGTTTGAGATTATTTGACCCTTCCTCAAATTCAAAAATTTCTGGTTATGAAGACTATCTTTCACGGCTCTGTTCTTCAAAAAGTGGACGCATGACAATTTGATAGGATTTTTCAGTGACTCGAAAATACAACATCAATTCATCAACTAATACAATTATGTAACTGGTTAAATTTGCATGTTATCGCTCCTGTGTAATTTATAAGACAAGAAAATAATCTTGAACTTCTTTTACCTCAAATTCTTCAATCCTTTTTTAAATAATGTTCACTCTTCAATGATTCATTGCTGCTACGAGCACATTCCAGGGTTGTTTTTCAAATTAAATCAAAATATACTCTATTATCAGAGGATTTTGCATCCCATTGACGAAGATTTGTAAGTAAAAATATAAAGACAACTAATGGTGTATAGATAAAAACTGGTAATTTACAAACATTTGAATGAAACAAGTACAAATACAATAAAAATAAAATGGGAATACACGTTTAATGATTCAATAAAATACTCTTGTAGGGTCTATCAGCTAGTAAATTTCTAACTGCTTTCTTGAATTGTACGTTGGTCAGATTTGTACACCTTATACCTATAGTCCGTTCAT